TTGAGGCCAGCCTGGTCTAAAGAGGGAGTTCCAGGACAACAAGAGCTGTTACATGAGAAACCATGTCTTGAAAAACGAACCAACCAACCAAACAAACAAACAGAAAAACAAAACAAGCAAAAATCTAGCCAAGACCGCGGAGAGGGAGAAGTGTTTGACCCTTTTCTCTGTCCTCTGCTACTGACACACAGCAATTACAGCCTGGACTAACTGCATTCATAATGACATGGAAGGAAGCCACAGATCCACCAGCAGTCAAGAGAAAGTATCTTCCCGGTAGGAAAGAATGCGGAAGTTTGAAGAACTGGGAGATTTCTGCGACCAGAGCCAGGAAGGAGTGACCTTGAGCTGGGTGGTGAGGTTTGGACCCCTAGACTGTGGTAGGAAGTGAGGGTCTCAGCTCCAAGTGGGATGCTATGGGGATGCAGGTTCTCGGAGAGAGCAGTTTGTATTCTGAAGTAGAGAACGGGTCTCCCTCCCAGGAGAGAGACAAAGAAACGAGGCCAAGAGACAGAGGCCATCAGGATGACTCTGAACCCTGGGGTGGCCCTGTAGGTAAAAGAGACTCAGTGCCCCTCAGTTCAGATACCAAGATCCTAAAGAGGAAATGAAACCACAGCACTTCTCCTCCGAGTGGGTCATTTCCCTTCCAGAGACCACACCTCCACCTCTACCTGGGAAGTGTCAGCTTCCTGATTCCTGGGCCCTGGTGCACTAAAATTGGAGAAAGAGAATGTTGGACCCAGTATTGGTGAGGTCATGCTCAGCACAGCATCCCTGTACTAGCCCGAGAAAGGTGGCTCCTAACCTCAGTCCTTCAGACAGAGAGTCCGACCTTGGCCCTACCCCAACACCTCCTCCCAGGTCTGAACCTTGAAAGGCAGGGTTTCTCACCTTCACAGGGCCGTATTGTGAGAGGTCTGTACAGAAGAATCCCTTTGTACACACAGTAACTTTAGTGCTTACTGAAGAGGAAAGTAAGCTTGCACAGGAACGGGATGGATGTACTTGTTTATTTCTACAGCAAAAAAGATGACATCTTGCTGGATGTTTGATGCTGTAGGACACAGGACATCATCAATGTTTATCAGAGTTGATGAGTATTCTGAGTTTAAAATCATCAGTGGTGTGAGCGTCATTTCTTCACATAAATGCATAGAAAAAGTGGCGGAAGTATCTGTAGGGCCATTTCAGAAATTGTTATAAATTCTGTCCTAATCCCAAGACGAAATTAATTAATGTTTTCACTTTGAGACAGGGCCTTATTAATTAACCCTAACTAGCCATATGTAGACCAGGTTGATCTATGTGAGAAAAATTTTCTTCCATCAAAGGTAGCTGAGCCTGCTGAGTACAGATATTCTATAAATCTTCCCAACTTTGTAAAACTTTTATGCAAATCTTTTGTTTGATTTTTGAAAAAGGCTTCCTCCATGTAACCCTGGCTGTCCTGGAATTTCTCATGTAGACCAGGCTGGCCTTGTACTCACAGACATTCACTTGCTCCTGCTTCTGGAGGCAGGAGCTGATGCCGAGACATGGAGGAACAGCACTTACTGGCTTGTCCCCTTTTTTTTCTTTTGGTTTTTTGAGACAGGGTTTCTCTGTAGTTTTGGAGCCTGTCCTGGAAGCAGCTCTGTAGACCAGGCTGGCCCCAAGGTCACAGAGATCCACCTGCCTCTGCCTCCCAAGTGCTGGGATTAAAGGCTTGCGCCACCACCACCTGGCCTTCTTTTTTATTGTTTTCTTTCCTTCCTCCCTGTCATCCTCATTTCTTCTCCCCACCCCCCACACCTTTCTTTGTTTCCCCCAAGACAGGGTTTCTCTGTGTAGCCCTGGCTGCTCTGGAACTCACTCTGTAGACAAGGCTGGCCTCAAGCTTTCTTTTCTTGTTTTTGTTTTGTTTTGTTTTGTTTTGAGACAGGGTCTCTCTATGTAGCTTTGGCTGTCCTAGAATTCACTATATTGAATGGGATGCATCTGCCTCCCAAGTGCTGGGGTTAAAGGTATGGGCCACTATATCTGGCTATCAGTCTGCTGTCTTGTTTTTTTGTTTGGTGTTTTCAAGACAGGATTTTGCTGTGTAGCCCTGGCTGTCCTGGAACTAGATCTGTAGACTAGGCTGGCCTTGAACTCTGAGATTGGCCTGCTTCTGGAACCTGAGTGATGGGATTAAGACTTGTGCTGCCACCATCCAGCCAGTCAGGTTTCTTATACCACCCCTGACCATTGTCCAGGTTGTAGCTCAATCCAAAGTGGGCTGGGCCCTCCTACGTCAATCATGAATCAAGAAAATGCAGACAGGTCTACAGGCACTCCGAGGGCAGCCTTGTCTCAACTAAGGTTCCTCTTCCAGGATGACTAGTTTGTGCCAAGCTGGCAAAGAACAAACAGGGCACATACATGCTGCCGTGTAAGAAGGGCAGAGGAAAATGCCAAGCCTCTGGTTTTTGAATCAAATCACTATGTTTTTTTTATGAGTAGAAAAGTTTGTACATTAAAAACACAGCAATTCATTAATATTAATAATAATACTCTCAAATTACAACAGAAGCGTTTCAGGAGAGGTTCATTGGCAGTGCATGGTGTGGCAGCATGCAGCATGCACAGGGCAAAGCATGCATGTCTGCATGTCGAGTGCTCACGGCCAAGCCCGAAGTAACGTCTCAAGGCGTAACATGGGCAAGGGCTGCCAGACAGACCTTGGGTTTGCTGGAGTTTGAATCAATTTTTAGTTGTTGCATATTCAGAAACTTTGTATTGTTGCCAAGTTTTCAAGACACCCCCATAGAGTTACAGAGTTCTCTAGAGGACCAGAGCCAATAGGATGGATCCCCCCCACACGCTGTGTGTGCGTGTGTGTGTTGTGTGTGCGTGTTGTGTGTATGCGTGTGTGTGCACGTGTGTGATTAGATGGGCTGTGGCCCATCTAGTCCAACAATGGCTGTCTGCTGACAACGTCCAAGAATCCAGGAGTTATTCAGTCCCTGATGCTGGATGTTTCCATTGGTCTTCAGACATGCCTGTGCAGCAGGGTCCAGGAGAATGGGGACATGCAAGCAGAAAGCCAAAGCTTCCTTCTCCCATGTCCTTTACATCGGCTGCCATGAGAAAGTCTAGCCAGATTTCGGATGGGTCTCCATACCTCAAATGGTCCTGTTAATTAAAATCCCTCACAAGTGTGTCCAACATCTTAGGTTTAGTTCATCCCATCTGTAGCCGTGCTGGCAGCTGAGAATAGCCACTCACAACCCAGTTTAAGAGCAGAACACGTGCCATTGTGTTCCTGAATTGCTGAGTGAGGGCTATGGGTTTGAGGTAGAAGTGGAGGTCGTTTCTATTTCTGTCACATGAAGTGAGAGTTCCGTATTAAAATCCTGCTATAGCTCGGGTGGTGGTGGTGCCTGACTTTTACAGGCAGACCTCTGGGAGTATGGTCTAGGAAGTGAGTTCCAAGACAGCCAAGGCCACAAAGAGAAACCCTGTCTCAAAAAGACTAAACAAACAGCAACAGAAACAAGGCTCAGCTTTGAAATTACAAAACCTTGCCAGACGGTGGTGGCACACACCTTTAATCCCAGCACTTGGGAGGCAGAGGCAGGCAGATCTCTGTGAGTTCTAGGCCAGCCTGGTCTACAAGAGCTAGTTCCAGGACAGGCTCCAAAGCTACAGAGAAACCCTGTCTAGAAAAACAAAAACAAAAAACAAAAACAACAAAAAAAAGAAAGTTACACAACCTGGATATCAGGAACTGTGTGGACTTTTTACACGTCTGCAAAACAGGGGTGGGTCTGTGTCTGGGTAATTGTGAGGCTGAGGCAAGAGAATTAAGAAAATTGTTTGAGACCAGAAGCTCAAAATCAGCATAAGCAGCTCAGCCCACTTTTTCTAAAATAAAGATTTTTTTTTTTTTTTTTAAAAAGGGCTTCCTTAGGGGATTGCTCCACTGAGATGGGTGGGCAGTGGTGGGTAGATAAGAAAGGTAGGTGGGTACAGGGCAGGATGTGAGGAAGAGGAACTGTGGGGGTCCTGGAGGTGGCTCTTATCTACCCTGCTGGTCTTTCTTGGAATGTAGTAGAATTTTTTTGGTTGGTTGGTTTGGGTTTGGTTTGAGACAGTTTCTCTGCGTGGCCCTGGCTGTCCTGGAACTCGCTCTCTAGACCAGGTTGGCCTCAATTGAACCTGGGTTTTTAAATCGCCTCTTCCCAACACGCAAACTTGAAGCAAGTTAGAGATGCTAAAGTAGGATGGATGGGTGGATGGATGGATGGATGGATGGATGGATGGATAGAGCAAATGAAGGGTCTGTGGGTGCCCATCAAAGCTAGAAAGGATCCTAGCCTCGCCCAGAAACTCAGTTGGAGTCTCTACGTAGCGCTACCAGGGACCACCTGAAAGAGGAAGGACTAGGTGGTCAGGTTCCCCGAGAGCAAGGATAGTCCTGGGGTGGACGCCCAGACGGGACGGGGACCCTGCCTGTGCCCTCATCTGCCACTTCAGAATCCAGGACACTCAACAAAGATCAGGTGAAATTTTAGCTCGGCTGCGTACCTGGCAGGTAGTACACGCTACAGAAATATTTGACAAACGGTTGACTCTGAGGAGGGCTCCTCCTGGCACTGCTAGCGACCTCTCTAGACCAAGGTGTTATCTTTTCGCCTCAGCTTTAGTGCAACAGGGAACGCCTCGGGAGGGGCGAGCCAGGGACTCGAGGGAAGGGCGTGGCCTACTGATTCGAGGGCGTGGTCCTGGACCAGAGGGTGGAGCCTAAACCCGAAGGACCGGAAAATGGGGCGGGACTTACAGCCGGGGGGGGGGGGCAGGGCCTGGAGTCCAAGGGCGGGGTGGCCTCGTAGGGCTGCCTGGCTGCTCTAGGGAGTTCGGGTGCCTTAGAGAGCAATCAAGGAGAGGCTGCGGCGGGGTCAGAGCGCGGATGCTGGAAGTTCACATCCCCTCGGTGGGGCCCGAGGCCGAAGAGTCCAGGCAGAGCCCAGAGAAAGGCCACATGGTGAGCAATGGATGGAGGGTGAGCGTGGGGATCCACCGAAAATCCATCCCCTCGACGAGCGCAAAAGGGAACCAGGATACCGGGGTAGGACGCCCATCGCAAAGGTTCGGGGTTACTGGCTTTGCCAGTCCCTCGGATGATGATCTGGGCTCTAGTGGGATCCTGTGGAGCAGAGGGGCGGGCCCGTCAGCCTTTTCTTTCAGGTGTATGTGGGGTGCGGGAGGGATTTCCCTGAGCGGCCGCACACCAAGTTGTCTTTGTCCCTTTCGAACGCCAGAAAGTGGGCGCGGGTCCTGCCGCAACATTTAGGCCAGCCGCCCGCACTCCTCCGCCCGCTAGGTGTTCCAAGTCGAGGTGCTGTACAGCGGACGCAGACACACGGTGCCGAGGCGATACAGCGAGTTCCATGCTCTACACAAGAGGGTGAGGTGGCACCCACCTCACCAATCAGGCTCCAGGCCAATCCCCTGGGTGCAGGCGAAAGGGATCCGGTCCCAGCTTCTGGTTGCCCACCCCCATCACTGTCCCAGTCCCGGGAGGGTGCAGATCATGGGCAACTACCCCCAAGGGCTGCAGGGCCCCTTGCGGGGAGGGCGCAGTGGCTAGATCCCAGCTCAGACTGACCTTGTCTGTGTGTGTCCTTTCTACTTTCGGGCACGTCACCACTCTCACCAGCAGTCCCAGGTTAGAGCTTAAAGGCAGAGGGAGGACTGGAGACACATCACCTAGGTGGAATGGGCTTGAGGGCTTTGCTGGGATCTCACCTCCGTAACTGATGACAGATCAAGAAGCGGTACAAAGTGCCTGACTTTCCCTCAAAACGCCTGCCCAACTGGAGGACCAGAGGATTGGAACAGCGCCGGCAGGGCTTGGAGACCTATATCCAGGTGTGCACAGGACACTTGGTTACTCCTAGTCTCAGGGACCAGGGGTGGCCAAGATAGTGATATGGGGGGGGGGGCACAACTTGAGTTTGTTATTTACCACCCCAAGCTCCATTTTTCTGAGCAATAGTGAGTACATGTTTCTATCTGGATTATTGCAAGTTTTGAATAACCAACAGGTGGATCCTTCAAGATCTGCCAGCCCTAGAGTAAGACTCTGTTATCTTCAGGAGGTGTGTGTGGACACATTCCTCCAGCAGTGACTGGCATTGAACTAACCTGCCCACTTTACGAGGCTAGCCTTTGCAGTCCAGCCGTTCCCCAGCATGGCCCTGAAGCTTGGACTAATACTTGCTTCCACTGCCTTGAAATTCTTAATTATTTTGGAACAAAGGTCCTCAAATGTTTGTTTGCAATGGGTTGTATAATTAGTAGCTGTGTCTGATTACAGGCTTCCTGTCTTCCTCTGTAGGGCATCCTGTACCTGAATCAGGATGTGCCCAAGGAGTTACTGGAATTCCTGAGGCTTCGCCACTTCCCTACAGACTCCAAGGCCAGCAGCTGGAGGCAAGGATGGCCCTTGCCAGGGTGTGGCAAGGGCTCTCAGCAGCAAGTGGCTGTGAAAGGGTCCTGAAGAACCCTTTCTTCATTCAAATGCTGGGCTCTGGTCTGATACGTGGCCTCCCCTACCAACTTTCTTGACCAGGGTGGAGGGGCTGGATTTTGGACAGCTTTGATTATACCCTGGCTGCGTCCATCTCCGTTACTGGGCTTGTTACAAAATAGAAGCAACAGTCCCCTGGGTATCCTCAAGCAGCTTACAGTGTTTCTCTTCTTTTCAGCACCCTGAGGGAATTCCTGCCTAGTGACAACAGGCAAGTCCAAGTCCTGCTCTAAGTGCCTGCTGCCCCCTGGTGGCCACATGCTAGGAGGCAGGCCAGTAACCTGTCTCCTAGTTCCTTTCCCGGCTTATTTTGGTCCCGTCTTTGCACTGCCACACCTCCACTCTCATGACTCTTCCTCCCTCCTCACAGCTCACAGCTGCACCACCGGCCCGTCATTGGCTTCTGTATGGACCCCTACATTTACACCCCTCCCCCAGGTGAGACATCCGCCCCTATAACCTGTTTTGTAACTTACTTCATAGAAGCTAGTGTAATCCAGTTGGTTCACCTGGTCTCTGCTCCCCTGTGGCCTGTCTTCCAAAGCAAATATGAACAGAATGTGGGCTGGGGAAAGACAGCTGAGCTTGTGGGCAGCTCAGAGTGCTAAAGCCCTAGGCCAGGCCCATCATATGCTAGCTCCCTCTCCTTCACCTTTTCTCCCACAGAACCTCTCCCAGAAGTGGTGGTGGATGGTGTCCTCCAGGGTCTCTATGGATTCAGCACTAGCCCGGCCAAAGGCTAACCGCCATCCTGCTCCATCACCAATGCCCTGGCTAGCCCAGTCTTCGGGTCACCTGTCAGGACAGTTAATGTGCCTCGGTCCTAGGAGTTCCATGTAAGAAGCTAGGTCGACCCTTGGACTAGCCTCAGGGTGTAACTAGCTGAGGCTCAGCTGTGCCCACACTCAAGGCTCTGAACTTGGTGTGCACTGACAGCTGCAGTTGGCAGACTTGCCCAGGGGCCACGGCAAAGCCAAGATAAAGAAAAGAGCATTAAGTAATTTCAGGCATAGGCTGAGAAGATTCAGGTGGATTTCCTAGCTCAGCCTGGCAGGTGGCAGAAGCTGGGCACAGTAGCTGGATAGCCTCTGTCTGATGACTAGTGGGTACCACCTAGGCACAAGCTTAGAAAGGAGCCCAAGGAAAGGGGTGCATCTATCTCCACATAAGAGTCCTGGACATGCTGGGATGCACACTCAGGACAGGTGCTTTATATACACCCTCAAAGCCCACACCTAAGTTATAAAAAAAGAAAACCCACTTTTTTATTGATCAGCACTGATACGAGTTTGATATAAAAACAGGCCTGTGGAATGTGAGAGGGTGTGGGTCCACTCCCTCAGATGGAAGCACTGGGGCCAAGTGGCACGAAACCTTGTGACTGGCTACCTCACCCCTGTGAGGGTCGTGACAGGACCTGCGCACAGGCAGCTTAGAGGGGTGAGTCCCTGACACTACTCCTTGGCAATGGCGAAGGGCTTCTCCACTTCGATCTTGCCGCAGTCTGCGATGATCACATCCTTCAGGGGCTTGTCCCGGCTGTCGGTCTTGGTGCTCTCCACCTTCCTCACCACATCCTAGGGAAGAAGGCAGGGGGAGGGGTAGAAGTCGAGAGGCACACTGATGGGACGTGGGACAGCCCCAGGGAGTGGCTTAGGAGGGTTGAGACCCACATGGGATAAACACAAAAACCCAGGGAACCAGGAGCTCAGGCACTGATGGCCAGGGTGAATGCGGAGCATAGATGCTTAGCTGATTCAATACCGCTCAGGTGTGAGTAACCGAACAGAGGACCTCACAGCAGGACAAACTCAACAAGGTCTTCTGGACAGGTTGTCTGGGGTTTGGGAAGATCTTGCACTTTTTCTTTTTCCCTGACTGTGGTGTTGGGGACTGAACTTACGACTTGATGCATGCTAGGTTAAACACTCTTTCATGCAGCCAAAGCCCCATGGACACACTGAAATGTGGTCTCATGGTGCTGTCCAGCCTAGCCTCTTGCCTCAGCCTCCCCAATAGCTAGGACCATGGGCATGTGCGAGTCACTCAGTCGGGATGTTTGTTCTTGACACTACCCATCCCTACGCCAGATTAGGAGGAACCACAGCTGGTCTTTATCTGTGGCTTAGGTGCCTTTAGGGAAAAGATTTCCTACTTGAAGCCCCTGCCTATTCAAACTGGATCTTTGGTAAGGACCACCAAGGTTTAGCCCTCACTTTTAAACTTACCATGCCCTCTAGAACTTTGCCAAAAACGACATGTTTGCCATCTAGCCAGGACGTCTTGACGGTAGTTATGAAGAACTGGGAGCCATTGGTGTCTTTGCCTGCATTGGCCATGCTCACCCATCCAGGCCCATAGTGCTTCAGCTTGAAGTTCTCATCTGGGAAGCGCTCACCATAGATGCTCTTTCCTGGCAAGAAAATCAGAGGTCATGGTGTTGAAACAAAATGGGTTGGACCAAAATAGGCAGGTGCTTGGGTGAGGATCTTCAGAGCTCAGGTCAGGCTTGACTGGCCAAGGACATAAAAATGGCCTTCATGTCTTCTACTCAAGCCATCTGGGGTATGAGGCCACGCTGACTTGGGCGAACTATTACGAGGAGTTTTATGACTGCCGAGGTACATGTTACCAGCTATCTTGGTTATGTCCTGAGGCCTGTAGGGGCACCTTGGTGATGCTGGGGTGTGGAAACCTTCAGAAGAAAGGGCTGCTATAGCCAACCGGATGGCCTTTCTAGAGTCACAAGACAGGAGCAGCTGCGGAGCAGAAGAGCAGGTGGGGGTTGGCCGGGGGAGGAAAAAAATGGGACACAGGGCTGTTACTCGGTTTAAGAGCCAAGAGCCTCTTATCAAGGCTGGAACATAAAATAAAAAATGCTTATGAATGTGTGTCATGTCTGTGTGGGGTATGGGTCCAGGGCCATGACAGTAAGCACGGAGCAAAGTTTATTTTCCCACTGATGGACTGAAGGGCCCGAGAAAACCAGCATGGAAGCAGCGTCTTCTTAGGCCAGAGAGACAGCTTGGCACGGAAGGGAACTTGCTGCCAGGCATGGGGCGGACAGGGTGGAAGAGGAAAACCAGCTCCTGTGAGTTGTCCTGACTTTAACCCCGCACTTAGGAGGCAGATCTCTCAGTTCCAGACATAGCCATTTTCTTTAGTTTAATGCCGTTCTGTTCACGTCACTTGCATGGGATCCTTTGCTCTCAGCACACCTGTGCTCACTCCACAGCTCCTCAGGATGCCCCAGGTTAGGACCTGCCCTGGCCAGAGGCCAACAAGGGAGAGATGGTTGATTGTACGAGCCAAGAAGGCAGAAAACTAAGATTAGACTAGATATCAAGGCAGGAGTGAGGTGGCCTGCTTCCTGCAATGACTCTTGCCTGTATACTGCTAAGACTTCCTATTTGAGAAACTTCCTTAGAGACCGTAACTAAGCATGGGATTTCAATTGCTCCTATTTAAAACAAAAACCAAACACTAATCTAGTTTCATTCTCTTCCATCAGTCTCTGCCTTCCTTCCGAGTGCTGAGGTTTAAAGCATGCATCACCACACTCAGTTTTCGTTGTTGTTTTTGAGTGTACAGGTGCTTTGCCTACATGCCCATCTTTGCGTGTACCTGAAGAGACGAGAAAGGCCGTTGGATTGCCTGGAGCTGGAACTATTAACAGTTGTGAGTCACCAACTCACAAGGGAACCCAGGTCCCATGCAAGAGCCATCTTAACCAGTGAGTCTTCTCTCCAGCCCCTGGAATTTTAGTCTGTGCATGTGTACGGGTACACGCACTCATGTCACGGTGCATGTGCAGTCAGAGGGTACCCTGCAGAAGTCCGTTCTCTTCTTCCAATGTTTGAGACCCAGGAAAAAAAAAATAGCCAGGCAAAAAGTAGAGGCAGGGCGATCAGACTGAGAATGACGAGGAGGGAGGAGTTAGGAGAGACACCAGCCAGCCGCCTAGCAAGCAGGATGTGTCATTAGCCACAGGACAAAGCATAGACAGAAATATGGGCTAATTTAGATGTAAGAGTTATCTAGTAACAAGCCTGAGCTACCAGTTGAGCACTATAAGAAATAGCCTCTGAGTCAGTTCTTTGGGACTGTGTGGTTGGAACAGGAAATGTCCAATTAAATGCCTCTGTTCAGAGGATCTGAAGTTACCTCCTGTGCCATCTCCCCTGGTGAAGTCTCCACCCTGGATCATAAAGTCCTTGATGACGCGATGGAATTTGCTGTTTTTGTAGCCAAATCC